TCCCCGCGCCCCGCCCTCGACTAGATCATTTCGCCTCCTGCGCGGCGACGGCGCGGCCACGTCACGGCGCATGCGCTCTCAGCGCGCCCACAAACCGCCAGGGGGCGCTCCTCACCGGCGTGCTCGTTTCCTTAGAGACTGAACCGGCCCTGGCTGGCGAGGCCTGGCAACCAAAACAGCGAAGATGCCGTCGAAGGGAAAGGACAAAAGGAAAGGCAAGAGCAAAGACAAGAAGTAAGGAGTAGCCCAGGTGGCCCCTCTCCCTCGGCCCGGCTGGAGGGGATTCCGAATCTGGGGCCTGGCTAGCCGGCTGCCTTTCGCCGGCCTACCGCTCCCCTCCAGCTCTCCCCGGGTTTCTGAGGAGAACTCCCTGTTCATTCTTTCTTGGCCCTACCCTGAGAGATCTTCTCTGTTGTGCGTTTGAGATAATCTTGAACAACTAAAATATGTGGTTAAATTAGTTCCTTGGGCCTTTTCGAGAATCCCATTTGGCTCGCAAGAGGAACCTCAGATTTGATCAGACTGGGTAATGAATGTTCAAATTTCCGAAAAACGACCAGAGCTCCTGACAACGTGGGGTGATATTCTAGCATTAACCTCCTAACTTGGAGTTGCTATTGGATTGTCTTTGGATCTGTTGGTGACCCCGGAGATTTCTAAACACGTTAGGGTTATACATGGTGTCCAACCCCAACCCCCGACCCCCTTCCCCATATGGGACCACAACGAACTTGAGATGCTTACAAAGTAACTTGCTTGGGTGTAGATTAGTGATAAAGAGTTTACCTATCATGTGCTAGGCCTTGGATTTGATCTCAAGTACTGCAGAAACAACAAATCACTCGTTTAATTCATACTATTACAGGAAATTTAGGAAACATAAATTACCAAAGGAGTAAATAAAATCATCTGTAATTCCATCATCCATAGATAACCAGTTCTATCACTTTGTGATTTTTTTTCTCTATGAAATATTAGCCCAACTATTTGTGGCTTTCTTCCTTCCCTTGCATCAACATTAAATTTATTTTTCAGGGTAAATTTTTCTCTTTTTTTTTTTCTCTTTAATTGTGTGGTGTAACAGTTTTTGTTTTGTTTTGTTTTGGTTTTGGTTTTTTTGAGACAGGGTCTCTCTATATAGTCCAGGCAAGCCTTGAACTCACTATGTAGCCTTGAACTCGCAGTGATCCTCCTGCCTCAGACTCTGGAGTGCTGGGATTACAGGCATATGCTGCCACACCTAGCAGTGTAGTGGTTTTTAATAATGTCAGGTGGCTGAGTGTGGTGGCAAACGCCTGTAACTCCAGAACTCTGAGAATTTGAGTCATGAAGGTCTCAAGTTTAAGCCTAGCCAGGGCAGTTTAGTGGCTTAGACTCAATTTCCAAATTAAAAAAAGAAAAGAAAAGAAAAGAAAAAGGGCTGGTAATGTGGCTTAGTACAAAGATCCTGGGATTTTATTCCCCCCATACATCTGCAGTGAACATGTGAAAAATGAGGACTACTGGGGATGAGACTTTTTATTCCTTGGATGTTCCATAGTTTATTGTTTGAGAAACTTTTGCTTTGTTTTTCCAGTCGCAGTTAGTGTTTGTATTAGTCCCTTCTGCTCACTGGGACAAAACACCTGACACGCACAACATAAAGGAAGAGAAGTTTATTTATAGTTCTTGGCCAGCAGGCTACAAGGCAGAAAGGCATGGTGAAAGGGCCTGGGCCAATGAAACTGCTCACTTCATGGTTACCAGGAAGAGAAAAAAGGGAGGGGCCAGGAGGAAAGATATAGACCCCTCCAAGTCATGCTCCCAAGCAAGCCCCCCACCCCACACCAAGCCCTGCTTCCTGACAGCAAGTCAGTAATAGCACCCCCCCATCTTCTTCCAAAAGCCTCACCTGTGAGCACCTGAGACCTCGGGTGTGTTCTCTGTATAAGCCATAACAGTGATCCTCCTATCTGAGGGATCTAATTTCTTGCGTTAAATACTTTGATACCTTCAGGGGGCAGCTGGATGATTACAACAAGGCAATCATCACTAGTGTCTCAATCAGATGCCTCTGAGATCAGCAGCTATAACAAGATAGGGGTGAGGGGATGAGGCTGGCCTTGCTTGATTAGAAGAAAAGTAGGAGTGAAAAGGGACTGAGAAGCCAGAGTTGAGAAGTGCACATGGAAGATACCAGTATTAAAAGTTTGATGGGTGTGTTGTAATCCCAGCACTCAGGAGGCTGAGGCAGAAGGATCACTGAGTTTGAGACCAGCCTGGGCTACATAGTGAGTTCCAGAGCAGTCTGAACTACATAGTAAGGCCCTGTCTAAAAACAAAAGCAGTATAAAAAGTTCTATTTATACATGTGTGAGAATATTCAGTAGGCAAATATGGTGAAATTTTTGTATATACCAAGTACCTACCATACAGTTTTGTTAATATTCATCCAATAAATATTTCAATTTTTTTTTCCTAGCAGGGATTGAGCCCTGTGCCTTCCCACTGAGCTACATCCCCAGCCCCCCTTTTTTAATATTTTATTTTGAGACAGGGTCATGCTAAGGCACTCAGTTGTTCATGGTGGCCTCAAAACTTTCCTTCCGTCCCAGTCTGTCAGAGTGCTGGGGTTACAGGCAGATGTGTGACACCTAGCTGAAAAATAATCTCTTTTTATCACTTTTTTGTTGTTTTTGTTTTGAGATAGGGTATCACTATATAGTTCAGGCTGACCTTGAACCCACTGTGTAGCCCAGGCTGGCTAGAATTCCCAGCATTCTTTCCATCTCAGCCTGCCAAGGGCTGGGGTTATAGGCATGTGCCTCCTTACCCAGCTTCCATCACTTTAATCTTTGAATCCATCCTTTTATTATTTATTAATTTATTTTATTTTTCTGGTACTAGGAATCAAATTCAGGCCTCACCACTGAGCCACACTCCCACTCCCTATTTTTTTTTTCCTTCTCTACCTTTGTATAAATGATATTTGTTTCTCAGGTATTTTTTGCTTTTTTTTTTTTTTTTGGTACTGGCACTTGTGAGGCAGGCAGCGATGCCACTGAGCTAAATCCCTGGCCCTCTCAGGCATTTTTTAAAGTCTGGCACACTGGTACTAGCTGGCAAAATATTTAACATACTTGCCAGAATAACTTGCTCTTTTTTCCAAAGCCTTGCCAAAGCAATGAAAATAAAAGCCCGGAACAAAACTGGAGGTAGCATGGGTGGGGAGATTACAAATACGTTAATCATGTGACCTCAGGAAAAACAGCAACAAATTAGAAAATAGGTTTGCAATGGAGAGAACCAAAGTTCACAACTGAGTGAGTAGGAATAGAAAAGACAGTTCAAATATGAAAGAATTGAAGAGGTAAATGAAAAATTGTGAGGCAGACATGGTTATGCATGTCTATAATCCCAGCTATTCAGGAGGGTTGGGAAAGTCTGAACAATTTAGCAAGATTGTCTCAAAATTTTAAAAAATTGGGAGGGTACCATGGATCGAACTTGGTTCCTTGCGCTTGCAAGGCAGGCAGTGGAACCACTGAGCTAAATCACTGGCCCAAAATAAAAATGTTTTTAGAATGGGCAGGGGTAGGATGCATGCCTAGCTTGTACGTAGCCCTGGATTAAATCTCTAGTACCAAAAATAAAAAGGATATGAAGGCTTATGAAATGATTTTGACTTGACTCTTGCCTCTATTTTTTCTTCAGAATTATGCTCCAGAGCTCTCTTCTTCTAGAAGAAGCACCTACTTAAAAGTGTGTAAATACTAGTAAATATATATTTCTTATTTCATAACCCATTCATCCAACAATATTTGGTCATGTGCCAGGGAGAGAGAGTGAGAACACTAATATAGTAGACATTGTTATATACTTTCAACATCTTTTTCCCATGCAGGAAAACAGGAAAAACAGATGATTCTATCTCTGTGGTGGATCAAGCCAAGGCGAGTGCTGCCCTTTGGGAGGGCAGGTTGGAAATCACAGAACTGTCTAGGATTGAATATCGTGATACTTCTCGGAGACTGGCCAAAAGTAATGAGGACTTTAAGAAACAGCAGTATAAAATGGAGAAAGACACGATGTCTGTATTAAACTATCTGAAGAAGCAGGAGCAGGAGAAAGATAATATGGTAGGTTGGTAGGTAGAAAGCCTTCATTACGTCTATAGTAACTGGCCTGGTTATATCTTTTAATAATTTTAATTTCTTGAAATCTCAAGAGATTAAGGAATCTTGTTAAGACAATATAATTAACTCTGTGTATGGGGTGGGTATGTGTTACTACACGTTGAATCCAGGGCCTTTACACTTAGCTACATCCCCAGCCCTTTAAAAATTAAAAAAAAAATTTTTTTTTAGATACAGTCTCACTAAATCACTAAGTTTCCAGGCTGGGCTTCAATTTTCAATCCTGCCTAAGTCTCCTGAGCCCTGGAATTCCACGCATGCACCTCCGCGTCTGGCAGGAGATGCTGGTTTTTTTAATTAAATTTTATTTTATCCCATTTCCCCCCTCAAGCCCCCTCCCCTCCCTATGTACAAAAGCTTTGTTTCCATTTTTCCTTCTGTTTTCATTTTTTTCTGGTTCCTTTCTTGGTCCCTCCTTCTCTCTTGTTTCCCTTCCCATTTGAACACTTTCTTTCCATTTCCCAACCTCCATTATACATCTCTGTCCTTACTTTCGTGTTCAGTTTCTCACGCCAGAGAGACAATGCAGTATGTAAACGTGTGTCTGATTTATTTCATTTAAGAGTATGGAGGAGACACTATTTTGTGCCATGCATTATGCTGGGTGCTGTACCTGAATTATCTCACTTAATCCTTTTAATAACTACATGTATTGGTTTTTTGAGACAGGGTCTCACATAGCTACAATATTGTTATTCTCTTCTTTTCTTTTTCCTTCCTTCTGTCCTCCCCCACCCTTTCTTTCTCTCTTTTTTCTAGATCTGGGGCTAAAACTCAGGTGTGTTCTACTACTGGGCTCTGCTTCCAGCCCATTTATTTTTTTTATTTTGAGATCAGATCTCCCTAAATTTCTCAGGCTGTCCTCAAATTTGTTATCCTCTCACCTCAGGTGTCTCCAGTGCTGGGATTACTGGCATGTTATTGCTATTTTACAAAGAAATTGACTTGCAGGAAGGACAGATGGGCTGAAATGTAGCTCAGTGGTGCCCCACCTGCCTGGCAAGCCCAAGGACCTGAGTTTGATTCCCAGTACCAGGGGGAAAAAAACGGGCAGATAATTTGCCCCACATCCTATAGTTACGCCAAATAATTCTCTTTCCTTTCTGCCTCCATAAGTCACTTGGAAATTCAAGGGCATTTCCACCATGTTCAGAATGGATTCTTCCTTCCACATATGCATTTGTACTATAACTATGAATCCATAGTCTTGTTTTAAATGTTCCTAAATTGCATCATATTGTAAAGATGTTCTGCAACTTGAATTTATTTGTTTGAGATATATTTGTTTATTGTTCCTTTTCCTGACTAGGACAAAATCTCACAGAAGTGAAGAATTTGGGAATTTCTATTGTTGTTCAGTGCTGTGTTCCCAGCACATAGGGATACTCCTTATAGTTTGTTTTTTTTTTTTTTTTTGCATGCGTGCATGCATGATTACACTGCTACTTTGAATGCTTATAAATGTTTAATAATTTGAAAAAAGTTCAAGATAATATTGAAAATAAATTGGAGAAGTCAAACAACTGAACATTTATGTAGATTTTATGTATTTTACTGAAATTATGCATTAATTTTGTTACCTTCTTTACCAGTTTCATTTTTTTTTAAATTTTGTTTTGTTTTTGGAGAAAGGTCTCACTATGTAATTCAGGCTAGCCTTGAACTCACTATGCAGTGCAGACTGGCCTCAAACTTAATGGAGATCCTCCTCTCAGCCTCCTGAGAGGCTGGTGTTGGGACTACAGGCATGTGCCACAGATCTGACTTCCATTTTTAAAATTACTTTTTGAGGCCAGGCATGGTAGTGCATGCCTGTAATCCCAGCTCTCAGGAGGCTGAGGCAGGAGGATTGCCATGAGTTCCAGGCCAGCATGGGCTGCATAGTGAATTCAGTGTCATCCTGAACTATATACATCAAGACCCTGTCCCCTCAAAAAAGTTAAATTAAATTATTCTTTAAATAGTAGATATTATAAAGATATTATTCTAAAATAACTTTTCACTAGCCATAAAAATAATTTTCAAAATTCAGAAAATAGATGCTTTGTGTCCTGCATTAGCTCATTGGTACTGATTTGCATTTATCAGTATCACTTATATTTCCAGACTGTCATCTGCCTTCCTATATCACAGACCAGCATCTGGCTGTGAACAGGACTTCAGGAAAAACAAGTTCTTCCTAGGCTTGGGCAGTCCTCCCAGCTTGTAACTCTTTGTTCTGGTACAGATAAAATTGGCAGCTATGTCCTTTAAACAAAGTTGATGCCATCTGTTCTCATATGATTCGTGAGGCTCTGTCGGCTAAGTTGCAAAATTGTCTGTCCTTGTCCTGTTTCTATAAGCTGCTTGCTACATCACAGAAAAGACCACCCCCCAGCCATATTTATAAAAACTAAAACTTTTCTTTGACACTCTTCCTTTGGAAGAGTGAACCAGTGTTTGCCTAAAATAAAGTCCACCTGTTTCTCATTGGTGTCTCCTGTTCTTGGATTCTGCAACAGCTGTAGCCAATGTTTTCTTATAATAATGGATTCCATTAAAATAAAAAATCTATGGCTGAGGAGGAAGCATAGTGGTAGAGCACATGCTTAGTGTACTCAAGGCCATGGGTTCAATCCCAGCACCAAAACAAACAACAAACCACAGAAACTATTTTGGGAGGAATAAAAAATGTAGATATGAATATATTCTGGTTAACTAGCTCTTTGGTAGCTTTGTTTTGTGAGACAAGGTTTCCCTACATTCCCCAGAGTAGCCTTGCACTTCTAGGCTCAAGTGATTCTCCCACTTCTTCCTCCTAAGTAGCTGGGACCACAGCCACTTGCTGCCACACCATGCTTAGCTTATTATCCCTTCTGCTATGTTCCAGAAATGTGTTGTTTTCTTAATCTTTATTCGGACTCTTTATAGTCTTCATGTTCCTTTCCTACATTAAAGGTTTTAGTATTATGTAAAAAACTAAAATATATGAATAAAGGTAAGATGTAGAGCTATTTCTTCATCTTTCTGATTGTATTTTCATCTTCTACAGATTGAAAAACTGAAACAGCAGTTGGTTGAAACAAAGGAAAAAGCCCAAGCGGAGAAGGAAAAACTGGTATGTGTGTGTAACATTTCACTCAGTTGGTCACAGGTCTATAGTGAGCTCAGGTATTAAGTCCCAATAAGTAAAAAAGAGCTGGGGGTGGTGACACACACCTACAATTTCAGCACTCTGTGAGGCTAAGCATTCCAAATTTTTTATTAGTGTATGTTGTGGTACATAATGATTACATTCATTAGGAAGAATTGGTACGTGTACATAGCACATCTTCATTTTTTTACAGCCCCTTCTCTTCTCTTTCCTCCTGGCTGCATTTTCTTGCCCCCCCCCTTCCCCAAGGATTGCAAATTTGAGCCCTACAGGGGTAATTTTGTGACTCAGTGAGACCATGTCTTAAAATTAAAAATTTTAAAAGGTGGGGACTAGGGGTGTAGCTTAGTGTGAAGATCCTAGGTTCAATCCTTAGTACCACACTCAAAAAAAGTCTTTCAATGAAACCTCATCGAACCAACTCAACAATGGATTTTGCTTTTGAATTTTAGAAGTTGCTTTTTTTTTTTTTTTTTTTTAATTGCTGCTGGGAATTGAACCGTGGGACTTGTCCATCCTAAACATGCACTTTATCATCAAGCTACAAACCCATCCTAGAGTTTTCTTTTTAAAATTTTGATTTTGGGGGGCCGGGGATTTAGCTCAGTGGTTCTGCTGCCTGTCTTGCAAGCACAAGGACCTGAGATCAATCCCTGGTACCAAAAAGAAAAAATTTGATTTTGGGCCAGGGATTTGTCTCAGTGGTTCCGCTGCTTGCCTCTCAAGTGCAAAGGCCCGAGTTTGATCCCTGGTACCACCAAAAAAACTAAAAATTTGATTTTGCATGTAAAATTTTATAATTATTACATTTATGTAAAATATTTATATGGTTCCAAAATCAAGACTATGAAACAAGGTATATGCTAAGAAATTTAATTTCTGTCCATGTATTTACCATAGTAAGTAATCATTTTTATTTACGGCATATTTGTTCATTAAAGTGTATATTTACTTACATGTTTGTAATAAGGATAAGCAATTATATACTGTGTCTCCTCTTTCTCACATAAAGGTAGCATACAAACAGTATTTTTTGGAGATTACACCATAGCAATATGTAAATGTATATGATAGTTCTGCATTCTTTTTTATAGCTGTATGGTAGTCATTGTATAGCTATAGCATATTTTACTCAAATGGTCTCTGTCTTAGTCAGATGGTCTCCTGTGACAGAATAGATTGGGTAACTTGAAACAGTTATTTCCCACAGTTCTGAAGGCTTGAAGTCAGAAGTAAGAGTGCTAACATGGTTAGGTGCTTCGTGAGGGCCCTCTTCCTGCTTCACAGACAGCTGCCTTCTTGCTATGTGTAGTCTTACAGGGAGAGAGAAACTTGTAGGCAACTTCATCTCCAGTAAAGGTATCAGTCTCCACTTGGAGTTGTCACCCTCTTGACCATATCTAAAGCTAATCACTAAAGGCCTTACCTCCACATGCATGCCATCAGGGATTAGGGCTTTAACCTATGATTTTTTTTTTTGTGAGGGGCCCTAACAGCCTGTAGAAGTCTCTTTTCACTGGATAGTTGTGTTGTTTCTAGTCTTTTGTTATTACAGTCAGTACTCCAATAAAGAATCCTGTGATCACAACTTTTCACATTTTGGCCACTGTATCATTGGGATATATTCCAAGAAATGGCTTTACTAGGTCAAAGAAAATATTGATTTTTATAGATATTGGCAAATATCCTTTGTATAGGCATTTTGTAATACCACTAATTACGCCAAACTGCCTGTTTCCACAAAGCTTTACCAATAGGGCATTTTGTCAAACTTGATTTTTATCTTTGTAATAGGAGGAAAATGGCCTTTTAGTGTAGTTTTGGTTTTAATTTCTCTTCTTATGAGCTAGGTTGAGTATTTGTCATATGTTTGACAGCCATTTACACTTCTTTTAATATATTTTGTTCATTTTTTATTGTGCAATTGGTCCTTTCCACCTCCTTCTCCCTCTTTTCTTTCTTTCTTTTTTTTTAAATTTTGGTACGGGGTCAAACTCGGGACCTTGTGCTTGTGAGGCAGGCAGCAGCATCACTGAGCTAAATCCCCAGCCTCCCTCCTTTTCTATCTTCTTTCTTTACTTATCTTTTCTTGTCATTTTCTTTCTCCTTTTCCTCTCTCATTTCTCTCTTCTTTCCTCCAATCATTTTCTTGTTGTTGCTGTTTACTATGGATATTTACCCTCTGTCCTTTAGCTTACTAATTTTAACTTGGATAACTCGTCATTTCTCCTTCTTACAAATTAAAGATTTTTTTTTTTAGTCTTCTCTTACAACCCCTTCTCCCCTTGTTGTTTGTTTGTACCAGGGATGGAACTCAGGACCTTGCACTTGTGAGGCAGCCAGTGGCACCACTGAGCTAAATCCCCCGTCCTGTTTTTTGTTTGTTTGTTTTTGTTTTTGGTAGTACAGGGGATTAAACAGAAAGCCTTGCACATGCTAGGCAAGTGCTCTGCCACTGAGTGAAACTTTTTATCTTATTTTCTTGCTTTTCTATACAAGACCAGCTTAGATAGAAAAATTTCCAGGAATTCTGTTGGAGGCTGTACTGGAGATCAAAGTCAGGAGTGTCCTACCACTGAGCAACAATCCCAGCTCTTTTATTTATTCATTTGTTTTGGTACTGGAGATCTAATTCAGGACCTTGGGCTTGTTGAGGCAGGCACAGCACCTCTGAGCTAAATCCCCAGCCTCAGCCCTTTTATTTGTTTATTTTTTATTTGGAGACAGGGTTTCAATAAGTTGCCCAGATAGGACTTTAACTTATGATCTTCCTGCCTCAGCCACCCTAAGTGCTGTCTGGGATTTTTTTTTTTTATTAAATGAAGTTATCCTTTACATAAATTTAAACTTTATGGGAAACAATTGGACATTTCTTTAAAGAAGGTAAATACAAATGGCTCAGGGCTTCAAGTGGACATGATTCTGCAGGACTTCTGTTTATCCTAACTCATTTACTTCTTTTTTGAATACAGGAACAAAAGTATGCTCTGCAGATAAGTGAGCTGGAGGGACAGTTCCATCAAAAAGCCAAAGAAATTGGCATTATTCAGACAGAGCTGAAAACAGTAAAACAATTCCAGAAGAGAAAGATCCAAGTAGAGAAAGAACTGGATGATGTAAGTTAGATTCTTTCTTTCTTTCTTCTCTTTACTTAAAAGAGATTTGATAAAGATCTTTAAGACATTTGAGAAAGTTCTAAAAGAAAATATAGTAAGGATGATGAATGATAATTTTAGACAAATTTAGACAGCTCTTTGGATAGGGGTACATAGGAATATTAAGTACTTTCAGAGAATTTCTTTGATCTTGCTGTGGCTGTTCTTTTGTTTTCCATTCCTTCAGCTCAGAATATAATTTTATTGCATTAGTGATAATGTAATAAATTACACTGTTAGCTGATATCCGCTTTATGAGTGTAGGCTAAAAAGTTACCTTTCTTCATCTGTAAAGTGAGAATAAGAATTACTGTCTTTTAGGGTTGTTGTAGTATTACATGAAATAATATGTAAAGCGTTTAAAATAGTGCACATCATAGAGTGTGAATGATATAAACAGTAATGTGCAGCTGTCTACAAAAAAGTCCTGATTTATAACATCTGTTAATTTCCATGGTGTAAATATTACAGCCATGAATATAGTGATCTAAACATTTGACTGAAGACCGAGGATCCACTTCCAAAGTAACACACTTTCATGGCTGTCAGGTGGTGCTGGGGATTAGGTAGGAAGCCTTAGCCTCTCAGTAAGATGCCTGAGTATCCTACTGAGACTGGTGGTAACCTCAGATTACCTAGACAGCAGCCAGAAGCCTGCCTGACTTTTCTCTCTCTTTTTTCCTTCCCCCCTTTCTTTCGCTCTCTTTCTTTCCTTCCTTTTTCTTCCCCTTTCTCCCTCCCTTCTTTCCTTCCTTCCTTCACAAGTCACATACCCTACCCTTGCAAGTCATGTTGTATCACTTTTGCTTTATTCTGTTAATTAGAAGCACACCTTGGGGCCGGGGGTTTGGCTCAGTGGTTCTGCTGCCTGCCTCACAAGCGCAAGGACCCAAGTTTGATCCCTGGTACAAAAAAAAAAAAAAAAAAAACGCCTTGGCGGGGGGC